ATCGATTTACTTCCAGGTGGCAGGCTGGCTGATCTGGAGTACGCAGACGACATTGTGTTACTAAGCGAAAATCCAGGTAGATTGCAAGCTTTTCTGGATAGCTTGAGTGCCAGTGTAGCCATGTTCGGTATGCGTTTTGCACCTTCAAAGTGTAAAATGTTGCTACAAGACTTGGTTGGTCCAGCACCTAGCCTCACTCTAACAGGGTAAGTAATAGAGCAGGTGGATAAGTTTTGTTATTTGGGCAGCTACATCTCACCCGGTGGACGCATCACGGACGAAGTGTCAGCTAGCATACAGAAATCTCGGTTGGCATTTGCTAACTTGAGACATCGTAGCGACATCCGGCTGTCTGTGAAGGGTTGAGTGTATGCCGCGACAGTTCGGCCAGTCCTGCTATACGGTGCCGAAACTTGGCCATTAAGGAAACAGGATAAAGATAGACTGTCGGTGTTTGAATATTGCGGTCTACGTAGCATTGCACGAATCAGATGGGGCAGCCGGACGAGCAATGCTGAGGTTAGGTGGGGAGGTTTAGACAATTTGTGTCGCCCACTGGAGGTGATGGTTGACCTCCAGGGATTACGGTGGTTGGGGCATGTGTTACGGATGTCACCAAATAGGTTGTCACTGCGAGCGATGTTTGCCGCCGCAGTTTGAGGTTGGGAAAGGGTCAAGGTCGGTCCAGCTAAGACCTTCCATGAAAACTCTAACGATAATTCTGGGTCACATGGGTTTCGTTAGGCTCCCTGGCTGGGGACCTCGAGATGATCGTAACCGATGGTTAGAAACACTGAGTAATATGGCTGGGTGTCGTGAACAATGGTGTTCGTGCAGCTCAATTTCTGTGTATCGTTAGTCCAATGAACTTTTTAATTTTGTCCAATCCTTCTTTCAACCTTTCCTGTCTTTCTTCTACCGAGTGGAAAAAAGCCAAGGGTGGTCAAGCTAAGACCAGGTACGAGGGTATGAAAACCCTAACCAGGAGACTGGGTCACATGTCAGGCTCCCTGGGTGGGAACCTCGGGATGATCGTAACCGATGGTTAGAGACACTGAGTTATATGGCTGGGTGTCGCAACCAGTGGCGTTCGTGCATCTTCTCAATCTCTTTGCAACCTTAGACCAGTGAAATTCTCCATTTTCTTTTCGACTCCACTTTCATGTTTCCTTTCTTCTCCTATTCTTCATCCAAATGGGCAGCCAAAAGACAGCAACCAAAACCTCGAATATGCATGGTTAATGGCTGTGCAAACTGAACGATACGGCCTTTTGGACGGCCTAACGAACCACCGACCGCTGGATAATCTAAAACGTCTGAAATCCTAATTCCAAACCTACCAGGAATTCTCGTCTCGGATGGTAACTGAAGCGATTGGGACATTTTGGAGACCCTGGAAGTGTGAGCTAAGCTTGAGGGGTGTACGATTCTACTGAGTGAATACGGGTCCTGGTGTGTCTGCTGTTTTCAGCTACCTCCGTGCTTTCTTTCGTGTCTGGATTAGACTGGGTGTGAATTTCAGCGCACATAACCTGCTTTTTTTGAGAGAATGTAGCGGTATTTCGTCAACGATGAAAACATGCATTTCTTTGTTTGTTACGAGGATGACAGTGCTTTGGTTTGCTCCACAGATAAGTTTGAATTACCGAAATTTAGCCTCAGTCATGATTTTTGCCATTTCAGGTTTCGGTTTACTGCGTACACTGATCATC